AGACCCTGTCTCATTAGGCCAAAATAATAGCTGGGAAGTGGTGGCACAAGCCTTTAATCCCCGCCCCTCGGGAGGCAGTGGCAGGCGGATCTCTGTGAGTTTGAGGCCAGCCTGGTCTACAAAGTGACTTCCAGGACAGTTTGGGCTACACAGAGAAACCCTATCTCAAAAAACCAAAAATAATAATAAAATAAATGAAAACATATTTCTGAATCCCTCATTGTGGGCTCCTTAGGAGTCTTGCTACCACGTTGCTTGTGGATAGGCCCTGCATCATTGCTGAGGGACCCTCACGGAACCTGACCCTCAGCTGACTCAGGCCACTCTAGGACACTCCAGCTCTGTGCAGGGAGACATGCCCCAAGAGGCTCCCTATTCACCGCCGTCCCCTACCCTGAGCGGTTTCCAGCTCCTCATCCGCCCTTGTGCCCGGCCGGCCGAATCCTGGGATTCTCTTAGGTCCCCATGCGCCCCCGTTTTTTATTTACACTCTCTGGTGTCAACCCTTACATCTCCATGTCCGGTCTGAGAAGTGTTGCTTGGCCCTCTCCCGCGCCCCAGTTTGAAGGCTGCAGGAAGTCGTACTCGCGCCTCGAGAACCTGAAGACGCACCTGCGGTCCCACACGGGGGAGAAGCCTTACATGTGTGAGCATGAGGGCTGCAGCAAGGCCTTCAGCAATGCCAGCGACCGCGCCAAGCACCAGAATCGGACGCACTCCAACGAGGTGAATGCCCCAGCTACCCGACTCTCCCCGCGGGAGACGCTGAGAAGAGCCCCTTAACCCAGGACTCGCTCCGGCGGGGAGTTCCCTTCCATGTAATTCATACAGGGAACACTTTTCTGAAAGTAGGAATTTTTTCCTTGCCCCTCTTTGCTCCGGACATCCAAAGGTCAGTGTAAAGTCGACCCCTGACCCCTTCGACTTCTGAATGTATGTGGCCTCACAGCCTGGGGGGGGGGGAGGTCACCTCTTTTTTTCATAGGCCTGCACCATCTATTTTTTAAATCTTTTTTTGTTTGTTTGTTTGTTTTTCAAGACAAGGTTTCTCGGTGTAGTTTTTGGTGCCTGGCCTGGATCTCGTTCTGTATGTAGCCCAGGCTGGCCTCGAACTCACAGAGATCCGCCCGCCTCTGCCTCCCGAGTGCTGGGACTAAAGGCGTGCGCCCCCACCGCCCGGCCTGTTTTTAAGTCTTTCTATGAGCCTCTCGTGATTTACTCCACCCGAGGGCTCACATTCCCGTCACTTCCTCAAAGGCTGTGTGTCCACTCTCGCCCACCCATCTCGTAGCTTTTCCCACTCTGTGTTCTTCTTCTGCCTTGAACCCCGGGCCTCGCGGCTTGGCGCCTCTCCTCCACAGAAGCCGTACGTGTGCAAGCTCCCCGGCTGCACCAAGCGCTATACCGACCCCAGCTCACTCCGCAAACATGTCAAGACAGTGCACGGTCCTGACGCCCACGTGACCAAGCGGCATCGAGGGGACGGCCCCTTGCCGCGGGCACCGTCCCTCTCCACGGTGGAGCCCAAGAGAGAAAGGGAAGGGGGATCCATCAGGGAAGAGAGCCGACTGACCGTGCCCGAGGGTGCCATGGTGAGCCACCTAGGAAGTCCTGCCCCCCACACCCCGCCGCGCCCTGCTGACCTCTTTCTAGCCCTTTTCCTAGAAGCATCGCCTCCTATGTGCAGTCTGCTGTGGCCAGCCTGCCTGTCTTTAGTTTTATAGTGTTGCTCCGTGGCTGACCCCAGATCTAAGGATGATGTTATAAAATTATCTGTTGTTTAATTGGTCCAACGCATTCACTTTGCGGGGGTGGGGTTGGGGTGGGGGGGGATGAAGGGGTGGGGTGGGGGGTGCTTCTTGGACTATGAACACATGGTAGGCAAATGCTCCCCCACGAAGCGAATCTTGGGCCCCCTAGGGACTCTCTCTTAAATAGCACTTACAGAGTTCCAAGCCTTAGGCGTGGGTATTTCTGTGCGTTCTTCAAGAGAGAGAAGAAGAGGCAAAGGTAACTTGTCAGGGTCACAGGACTAGGCAGGAATGGAGCCCTGGGACCCTGCACTCCAGCAGGGACCCTTCCCGTTTTCTTCTAGTTCACCCCAACCTCTTGCCGGCTTAGTCCTCTCTACCCTTGTCTGCCTGTCCTCAGCCCCTGCAAATCAGTGGGGACCCAGGCTTCAGCCACTCCCCGAGAGGGCGTGGGGGAGGACGCCACCCCCGATTCTCATCCCCTCCACAGAAACCACAGCAGAGCCCTGGGGCACAGTCCTCCTGCAGCAGCGGCCACTCCCCGGCCAATACGGACAGCGGGGTGGAAATGACGGGCAACGCGGGGGGCAGCACCGAGGACCTGTCCAGCCTGGACGAAGGCCCTTGCGTGGCGGGCGCCGGACTTTCCACTCTTCACCGCCTGGAGAACCTCAGGCTGGATCAGCTGCATCAGCTCCGGCCAGGAGGATCCCGGGGTCTCAAACTGCCCAGCTTGACCCACGCTGGTGAGACCTGGGTGTGGGAGGTGCGGCTCAGCTCAGCTGCGGAGCCGTCCTGAAGCCGAGGTGGCGGGGGTCACCCTGGAGTGGCCACGCGGCATCCTCTCGTCATCTGAGAAATAGTCCCCGTCCTTGAAGACGTTTTTGCTTCCATCGATCAGAAAATTATACATCTAGGCACGGCGGTTGTACACCTGTCTGTCCCACCACCGTGGAGACTGGGCAGCAAGAGAGTTCAATATGAAAAACCAAAAAAAAAAAAAAAAAAAAAAAGGTGCTGGGTGGTGGTGGTGGTGGTGGTGGCTCACATCTTTAATCCCAGCACTCGGGAGGCAGAGGCAGGCGGATCTCTGTGAGTTCGAGGCCAGCCTGGCCCACAGAGCGAGATCCAGGACAGGCTCCAAAACTACACAGGGAAACCCTGTCTCGAAGAACCACAGTGTTCAATACATCCATGATATGCTATCCCTGTAACTGTGCATCAGTGTACGAAACTAACCGCCTGGAAGCAGAAAAAGAATAAGTGTGGGGAAGCCTGGGACTCCTTACTTTGGGGTTCCGGGCCAGGGCAGGGTGGGACCCCCGAGGGCCCCCCCACCACCTGCCTTTTCTCTGTCCCCCCGCAGGCACTCCCGTGTCGCGCCGTCTGGGCCCCCCAGGCTCCCTGGATCACCGCAGCCCCAGCTCCAGCAGCATCAGTTCTGCTTACACCGTCAGCCGCCGCTCCTCCCTGGCCTCCCCTTTCCCTCCAGGATCCCCACCAGACAACGGGGCGTCCTCCCTCCCGGGCCTCACGCCTGCCCAGCACTACATGCTCCGTGGGGGCGCGAGGTACACCGCCGCCCTGGGGTCAGCCCGGGGGACCGGCACCCCACCCGCCGCCGCCGCAGCAGCACACCGCCCGGAGCGCATGGGGGCTCCGCCTGTACCTCCTTGGAGAAGCCGAGCCGAGTACCCAGGGTACAACCCCAACGCAGGGGTCACCCGGAGGGCCAGTGACCCAGCCCGGACGGCCGACCACCCTGCTCCAGCCAGGGTCCAACGGTTCAAGAGCCTGGGATGTGTCCACACGCCCCCCGGTGTGGCGGCGGGACGGAGTTTCGATCCCCACCTCCCCACCTCGGTCTATTCACCACAGCCCCCCAGCATCACTGAAAACGTTGCTATGGATACCAGAGGGCTGCAGGAGGAGCCGGAAGTTGGGGCGACTTCCGTGATAGGCAGTGGCCTGAACCCATACATGGACTTCTCGTCGGCTGACAGTCTGGGATACGGGGGACCCGAGGGAATGGCCGCGGAGCCTTATGGACCTAGGGGTCCAGGTCCCCTGCCTCCTGGGACTGGTTCGCTGACCAACTATGGCCCTGGCCACTGTGCCCAGCAGGACTCCTATCCTGAGCCCACCCCGGAAACGTGGAGTGAGTTTCCTTCCCATTCTGGGATGTACCCCGGCCCCAAGGCTCCAAGCGGAGCCTATAGCCAGTGTCCTCGGCTTGAACATTATGGACAAGTGCAGGTCAAACCGGAACAAGGGTGCCCCGTGGGGTCCAACTCCACCGGACTGGCACCCTGCCTCAATGCCCACCCCGGCGAGGGGTCCCCAGGCCCACAACCTCCATTTTCCCATTATCGCCAACCCTCTCCTCCCCAGTACCCCCCGTCGGGTCCCTATCCCCGGTCTCCCCATGATTATCTTCCGCCGGAACACAGGCCTGGCCTCAGTTTTGACCCCTCTTCTCATTCCACGGGGCAGCTCAAAGCTCAGCTGGTCTGTAATTACGTCCAGTCCCAGCAGGGGGTGCTGTGGGAGGGTAAGGGCCGGGGAGGGTTCCCCGACCAGGAACCTCCCTATCAGAGCTCCAAGTTCCTGGGGGGCTCCCAAGCTCATCAGAGCCCTGCCAAAGGGCCAGCAGCTCCGTATGGATCGGGCTTTGCGCCCGCTTTGGCCAATCACAAGTCAGGCTCCTTTCCCACCCCTTCGCCGTGCCAAGAGACCTTTGCAGTGGGGGCGAACCGGCCTTCCCATAGGCCGGCGGCAGCCCCGCCCCGGCTCCTGCCCCCACTGCCCTCCTGCTACGGACCCCTCAAGGTGGGGGGCACCAACCCCAGCTGTGGACATCCTGAGGTGGGCAGGTTGGGCGCCGGCCCCGCCTTGTACCCGCCCCCTGAAGGGCAGGTGTCCAACCCTCTGGACTCTCTTGACCTGGACAGCACTCAGCTGGACTTTGTGGCTATTCTGGATGAGGCCCAGGGGCTGAGTCCTCCTCCTTCCCACGAGCAAGGGGACAGCTCTAAAAATACCCCACCTCCCTCTGGACCTCCCAACATGGCGGTGGGTAACATGAGCGTCTTACTGGGGTCTCTGCCTGGAGAGACCCAATTCCTCAACTCGAGTGCCTGAAAGGATAAGGGATCCCAGCCGCACCATGTTTCCTAGGCGGCTACGTGAGGTGCCCAGGGATGGAAGGTTTGGGCTGGGGACTGTATTTAGTCTATGTATGTTCCAGAAAGAAAAAAAAAAAACAAAAACTTTAATAATGACAGTTTCCTGAAAATAAAGGAATGCTGAGAATAAGTGCCTGACCCGTCAACTTGGGGAGAGTGGAAGTGGGCTCGTACACCTTCCTCTTCCGAAAACTCCCACATCTAACAGCTCAAGTGAGACTCAGGACGGGGAAGAGGGTCCTCCGGGAGAGAGTTGACGGGATGTCTTCCAAAGAAGACCTGCCGTCCCTCTCAGAAAACTGACAAATGGCAGGAGACGTCCTCCTTTTTCTCGCCCTAGTCAGGTGAAGAGGCTAGCAAAGTTGTCGAGCATCAGCTGGATGAGCTGCCCGGGGTAGAATACGTGGGCTGTCATGTCAGAAGTCTCCTGCTCCGGTCGGAACAGCGTCGGTCCAAACACAATTCCCAGGTTGTGGGCAGTCATTCGGTTCTTGTCCGCGTGTGCAATCACCCTGAGGACAAAGCCAAGGAAAGGGGGAGATGAGGCAACAGCGACCCACTACAAACCAGCATGGCTCCGCCAGGTCTGAGCAGGGAGGGCAGAGATCACTCTGGGATCCCTCCACATGCTGCTAAAGGAACCCAGTACAGACCCAAAGAGGATCAGGGACGGGCCAGCGGAAAAGCCTTCAGGATACAGTCTGGAGGCACAGGTCGGTTAGAACTGCGTGGTTCTCCGCCCCAGGGACAACCCCTAGAGTCCTCTCACAAGGTGGGAGGCTCCGCTAAACAAGCCACCCTGCCCCGTGGGAGACTAAGGCCAGGGGAGGGAGAGAGGATTCCCTTGCTTCTCTCACAGCATTCCTGGTTCCCCCATGGGATGCTCGGCTAGCCACAGGCTTGGACCCATGTCGGTGTACCCCGTCTCCATGGGCTGCCTGATCAGAGCCCCCACAGACCGCCCGCCCACTCCAGCCTCCCCGGCACGAGGAGGCCGTGGAGTCTTCCTGACCTGCACAGATGCTCCAGGACGTACTGCAGTGTGTCGTGGTTGGGCTTCGGAAACAACTCCAGTAACTTCTTTATTTCAGCGAGACACTGCTCTGGCTCAGACAGTTCTAGAGAGCGGCGGCGACAGGGAGGACAGGAGAGGGAGGTCAGGGGGAGAGATACCTCTGGGTGGGCAAACTCCCTCTTTCCCACGTCCAGGAACGGTATCATTTGTCCAGCGCTCTCCCCTCCCCCTTCGGTACAAGAGGTTCACCCAGGGCCTTGCATAGGATAAGCGCACGATTGACTGCTGAGACAGGGTCCTCTACTCTTTTGTTGTTGTTGTTTTTGGTTTTTTTTTCGAGACAGGGTTTCTCTGTGTAGCTTTGGAGCCTGTCCTGGATCTCGCTCTGTAGACCAGGCTGGCCTCGAACTCTCAGAGATCCACCTGCCTCTGCCTCCCGAGTGCTGGGATTAAAGGCGTGCGCCACCACCGCCCGGCACCCCTCCACTCTGACACAGCTCAACCGCGACTTTCAGAATTCTTTCCAGCTCAGCCCTCTATAAACATTCACACACAACACACACACACACACACCTAGAACTGGCATGTAAATTCTCCCCCACCCTTGTAAATACAGATGGAGGGGACCCTCTGTGCCAGGAGTACTGGACACAGCTCCTGACCCTCACCCAGGGTGCCACGGAAGTGGGGCAGCAGCGGCGGGGGCACCAGAGGCTGCGGCAGCTCCCGGAAGAAGAGCTTCAGGGCCCCGGTGACCACGTGGATGTCATCCCATTCGGCGCTGTCCAGATCTAATTTGCCTTCTGGAAGGAAAAAGAGGGTCCTTGGGTTGAAGGCTCAGAAGAGACAGAGAGATCCAGACTCAAAGGTCAGGAACTGGGGGGGGGGGGGGACGACATCTGGTTAAGAACGTGGTCATGGTCCACAGTAGGGCGTGGCAACAAAGGGGGCGGGGCGTGGGCGTGGGGTGGGCGGGGCGTGGGCGGGGCGTGGGGGGTCCGTGGAGCACAGAGAGGGCATGTCAGTCCATTTCTAGGTAAGTACCTTGTCCTGGCTGCTCTGGGAACATGTATCTCCCATCAGAGGTCACTGCCCGTTCTGTAACACGCATGAGGAGAGACCCGCAGCTGAGACACGCTGCTCCAGCTCTCTCGCTCAGAACCACTCTGGGCTCCGAGGTGCCGCGTGCGTCCTTGGGCCCATTGCTTCCTCCCAGGTCCTCTCACCTCTGTCTACCAGGAAGCGAAGTTTCTGGACCACCGCCAGGTTCCCACTCACCCGGTAGATGCCGTCCACATCCAGACCTAGGGGGCGAGGCACAGGGAAGGTGTGAGAGAGGGGTCTGGGGGAGAAAGGGGTCCGTGGGAAGGCAGAGACGGGGCGAGGGGACCCAGGCCTTCAAGGGGGGATATTTTTTGGAGTCTTTGGAGAAAAACCACCTTTTTTATCCACAGCCTCAACACAAAGCCGCACAAAGCTGGGCACGGTGTCCCCTTCCCTTTGGCACAGCGACTCCAGCTGGCAACCAAACACTTGGTCTGCAGAGCAAGGGAAAGGGGAGATCATCAGTAAAGGTCTCCGGTACCCGCGTAAGACTGGGGCTGCTGCCCCGCGGGGGTACCGACCGGCTCTCTGCTCCTCCAATAATGGGGAGGAGGGGAAAACAGATGTCAGCAGGTTCTAACTGGTTCTGGATGCTCCGCTTTGAGCCTCACTTGAGTTTCGGTTCGTGCTAAGATTAGGAATATGGAAGATCCTGAAAACACACCTATCGGTCCTCGCATGGTGCCTTTTTTGTTTTTGTTTTTCCAGAGAGGGTCTCTCTGTGTAGCGCTGGCTGTCCTAGAACTCGCTTGTTAGACTAGGCTGGCCTCGAACTCCGAGATCCACCCGAGTGCTGGGATTAAAGGCATCGCCACCACCCAGCGTAAGATGCCTCTTCCCTGTAATCCCAGCGACACTTAGGAGGCTGAGGCAGGAGGATTGCCCAAGGTTGAGGGCAGCGCTGGGATGAATACTGAGAGTATGTTTCAACCATAATAAAATCCGAAAACCAAAACCTACACAAAACAAAGACACTAGGTCCAGCCCAGCCTACCCCGGAACAGGCCCCGCTCCTGGAGGCTCTGCAAGGTCGGTCTCTTGGCGATCAGCCGCTTCAACTTGTTCCGCACGCGGTTCTTCTGCTCGGTGCCCTCGGCACACCGACCTGCGCAGACCGGGGGGAGTGAGCGCGAGCGGAAGGACCCCTTCTTCCCCTGCACCCCAGCCCGGCCGGCTCCGTCCCACTCCGTACTGGAAATCCTTCGGCTGCTGAGCCGGATCAGCGGCTTGGACACCGGCTCTGACTCCAGCTCGTCATCCTCACCGGCGCTCAGCTCCGCCAGCTCGGCGGGTCCCGAGCCCGACAGACGCAGCTCCAGGGGGTTCTCTCGATCCTAGGCCCCGGCGGGCGCGCGATGGGGGAGGGAGAGCATCGGCAACCTCCCCATTCCAGCCTGGGCCAAGGTCTGGGCTCCACGCACCCCGAGGCCGCCTGGTCCGTCCCAACCCCCCCCCGACAGCCCCTTCCCGCTCCCTCGGCCCACGCGGGTCCCCCTTTCCCCGGGGTGCCTTCGGGGAGGGGGGGGGCTGCACCCTTCTCACCAGCCGCTCGATGACGGCTCGCAGCGCGCGGTGCCAGGCTCGCAGCTCGGGCTCCTCGTCCGACTGCAGCAGGAACTCATGGCCCGGGACCGTCCGGATCTGGGGTGGGTGGGGGTCGGGCGGGGCGAGGCTGGCGTCAGCGGGGACGAGCGCCCTCGGGTCTCCCCCCCCCCCGCCCGCCCCGTCCCCCGAGTCCCTTTTTGGGGACGCGCGGCAGGGCGCTCACGTGCAGGACGTTGCGGCGGCTGGACAGGTGGCGCCCGTTAGCCAGGGCCGCCCCGCGCAGGTCCACGCTACTCTCCGGCCGGCTTCCAGCAGGCGCCTGGCCAGGACGGGAGAAACTGAGGCCAAGAGCTGGTGTCCCCACCGCTTCCCTCTCGGGAGGGAGGAAGGAGGTAGGGGTGAGCTGCTTCCCCTTTCCTTTACCTTACTCTCCGTTTCCTTCCTCGCCGCCCCCCCCAACCCCGTCCCGGTCGGCCTTGACGCACCAACCAGTAACCCCCAAACCCTTGCTTCTCCCCCCCTCCCCCGGCCGATGCTCACCCAGCCTTGGGAGGGCGCAGACTGCGGCGGCCGCTCTCGGTAGAACACAAGGCTGTTGCCGGTTAGCACCACCCAAGCGGGGCCCCAATTCTTCCTGTCGGGGGGAGGGGAGGAGCGAGGTAGCTAAAAGGTCATTTTAGTATTTCACCTGGGGTGCCTGGGCTCCCGGGCGCCGCCCTCCCCGGCGCTTCCTACCCTGTGAAATGCAACAGCCCAGACCCCTGGCATGTTCTGCGTCCTCACCTGAGTTTACGCCCTCCTTGAGCAATCTTGGTCATGTTGATCAGGCCTGACTTTTCCTCCTGGGAAAGGTATGGAGTATTATTGTCTGTCAGCCGCCCTGCGCCACCCTCACCCGCCAAGGGTTCTCTCTAAGGGGTGAGGTCCGTTCAAGTCTGGGGGTCGGGGAGACTGGAGAAGAGCCAGCGTCCAGAAAGAAGAAGACGCTTTCCAGGAGCAGGAGTCAGGGTGGCCGTGCAGAGAGGATCTTGGCACTCCGAGACAGGAAAGACTCACATGGGGGTCATCCAGGTGTGGCAGACCGGGGCAGGACTGCAAGGCTGTCGGCTGGTCTGAGAGGTCTCCCCAGGGGCCGCTTCGGCTGAGGCTTGGTAAACCCTGAGGATGGGGGAATTGAGACAGGTAGAGAGGGACCTTCAATCTGGAGGTCCTAGGTCGCTAGAGGGAGAGGGGTGTGGCTGTGGGCGAGGGCGATGCTACAGTGGGAAAGGAAGAAGCCCATAAAAAGGTAATGGAGTGTTCTCACCTGTGGATCAAGCCATTCCTGAGGTTGTAGGGCACCAACGTCCCTAATCAGAGCCTCTGTCTGTTCCATGGAGCCAGGTTTCTGGGTGTAGGGGGAGACAAAGCAACATCCAGGTGGACCCCAACAGTTCAACACTTCTCACGGTGTTCTCTCTCTTCCGACAGCCCCAGAGAGAAATGGGGGAAGGGGGTCTGAAGGGACAGGGAGACAGGCAGGAGGACGGTGTCTTGAATGTAACGGTGGCACAGGAGCAGCATCGGGGGTGGGGGGGGGATCAGTCGTTACAGGGGTTGTGAGTTATGGCTGAAGCCTGGGTCGGGGCCGCCTAGCAATCTAAGCTTTGCTGCTTGTCCCCAATAACCAATCGAAGAGGCAATGCTCTAGGGCGGAGAACAGTTTTTTCCGGGGCTGGATAGGTGGTCCTTTGGTTAACAGCACTGGGTGCCTTCTGGAGGGGCCGGGAGAGGGGGTTGCGGCTGGATTTTCAGCATCCTCATTAGGGCTAAAAACTCCAGTTCTTGGAGATCTGACACCCTCGTCTGGTCTCTGTGGACACTGCATGCATGTTGTACACACGCATACATGCTGGCTGGCAAAACACCCATACACATACGTTTATTCAGTATGGCCACACTGAGGAGTGGATCAGCCATATAAGTAGATCCAATGATCCCCAATGCTGCTTTTGGGGTCTAACATGAGGTTTAGGTTTGAATAGAGGGCAAGAGATAATCAATCATAAAGCCAGGCATGGGGGCACATCCCTTTTATCTCAGCACTCGGGAGTCAAAGGCAGGCGGATCCCTGTGAGTTCGAGGCCAGCCTGGTCTACAGAGTTCCAGGGCAGCTAGAGACCCTGTCTGGGGTGAGGAGGGGGTAATCGTGACTGAGCAGTGTGGTCCTCGCCCACCCGTCTTTGTCTCAGCTCCCTTCTCCGCGGCAGGAGGACCTGCCTGACAAGTTATGAGAACACTGTGAACTGCCCTCCTGGGAGACAAGTTCCTTCTCTGGCTGATATCAGGACCACAGCTTTTTACTTCCCCGGCAGAAGACTCCTGGGGCAACTCTAATTCCTTGGGGTCCTTGTCTCGATGGCCTGACAGCTGAAGAAAGAGACACAGCCTTTCTCTTTAGAATTCTGTCCTGTCCGAAGATGCTCCCAGGCATCCAGCCCGGGGGGGGGGGGGGGGAGGGGATACAAGGTCTTCGGGACAGGGACCCTGGACATGGAGAAGGCCAACCAGATTACGATACACAGGGAGCCTTGGCAGGAGAGGCTGAGATCCTGCCTGCCAGGGAAACGGGGAAGAAGGAGGTGGTTGTTCTGCGTGCCCCCCCCCAGTCCCTCCCAAACCCCCCATTTACTCACCTCAGCTCCGGGCCAGGGTGACCCTGGTACGGGGTAGAAACCCCGGCTGCTTTTTTAAAAATTCTCCTCACGGCCTCTTTCTTGCTCTTCTCCTCACTTCCTGTTGCCAACTTCCCTCCCCCCCCCACGCAACCCCGCCCCAGGGCTGCAGGAAAGGGGAACAGGCTTTTGGGGGGGTGGGGGGGGGATGGGGAAGAGAGTGCCCCTTCCTCACATCATTCCCAGGAAGGGACAACACCAAGAAGTGAGAGGCCAGGCTAGGGCCAGGGGCGTAGGAGAGGAAGGACCGTTTTTTTTTCTTAACCACAGGAGACAGAGAGTGGAGAGGGAGGCAGGCTTGCTTGTAATCCCAGCACTCGGGAGGCTGAGGCAGGAGGATTATAGGAGGTGGAGGTCATCTGGCCTACCTAAGGAGTCCAGCTGAGCTGGCCTGGCTACAGAGTGAGACCCTGGCTCAAAATGCAGCTGACGGAGGGGGAGGGGGGGGAGCCAGGGAGTTACAGCTTGAGAGGGAACGACTTGCTGGTGTCCTGACTTGAGACAGGGCAGAGGACAAGCCTTGCCCTGGGCTAGGAGTCAGAACCAGAGAAAAAGCAGTCTGTGGGCCGTTCCTTCCTCCTGCTCCGCTGGACTCCCATGCCCTCGGGGCCTGTGTGACTGACTGGCTGTCCTCCCATCCCCTGCTTTGCTTGTGGCCATTCTTCCTGTCTGCTCAGGCTCTCCGCAGTGCGCCTCGGCCTCCTCACAGGATCTGCCTGCCGCATTTTCTGTGACCCTCTCCCAGCCCTCAGTCCATCCAGGGAGGGGAGCCGCCTGTCTGGCCTCTTTTACCACTGTGCCCGGAACAGGGTTCCTCTGCTGTGTAGCTGACAGACCACACTCTGATGAAGATCTGGAACTCACCATATGGGCCCTGGCCTCTGTCACCGAGCCTTCCTGGGAGAGAGATCTTTCTCTGGGCCCTTCCTTGAGGGCTTTCAGGAAGCAGGGCTTCAGACTGGCCATGCTGACGCTTCTGCACATTTTGTGGGGACAGGGGAGCGGCTGCTCGGACGTGACCCGGGGTTCCTGACACAGGTAGAGCCCCTCCTCCAGGGAGCCATGAAACAGCTTCGTCCCTGGACAGAGAGACAGGGAAGAGTGGCAGGTGATGACAGATCAGGGCCTTGGCGGAGTCGTCCAGGAATGCAGAGGAAGGCTGCCTGCCGGAAATGGCTTGAGACCTAGACAGCTTAGAGCTGGAGGGGGTCGCGGGGGGCACCACCGTGGTGTGTGTGAGAACAACGGGGCTGACAAGACAAGGGGTGGGCAGAAGCGAGAGGCAGCCCCACTCGGTAACGCTCTCCAGCCGGGGAGACGGGAAGGTGAAAAGGGGGAAAAAAAAGCTTGCAGTTTTACTCACGGGATGCATTGTGGGTAGCCTCGGCTGGTCCCCGGCAGGAGAGTGATTCCTCCGTCATGTAGGCAGCTGGAACAAAGACGGGCCGGGAGCTGGGGGGCGCTCCCAGGCGCCTGGCCAACCACCAGTCTGAGTTGGTCTTTCGGAGCAGTCGGAACCTGTCACCTTCAGCCAGAGACACCTGGCGGCCATCCGCCCCGGTGTACGTGAAGGGATAGAGGACACAGAGCTGGGGGCCCTGGGAAGGGCTCTGTAGGCTCAGTCCTAGGTTACCCCAAATACTCGGCCACCACCGGCCCGAGAGCATCGTGGCCACCACTGTCACCTGTGGGAGAAACGGGTGATGACGTTCCAGAAGGAACTAGGAGCGGGTGCCTCCATGCCCAGGGACATGGCTCCAAGAGTGTGTGTGTGTGTGTTGGGGTGAGCGAGGACAGGACCCTTGGAGAGAAAAGGCAGGGGGTAGACAGAAGCCCCGAATGGGAGAGATCTGCACAGGTTTGGGGGCTGAGAACTCCTGTGACGTGTCTGATGAGGAAGTGTATAAATAAGGTGAGAGAGGATGTGGTCAGCAGGCCTACAAGGCTGGCGAGGCAGGAAATCAGAAAAGATGACCGAGCTTGGTAATTTTTTCCTTTAAATACCTTGCGGAGGTCACCTGAAGTTCCAGGGGCAGAAAGGATTGGTCCCGGGTGCTTTGGGGAGTCCTGAGCTGGGCACGGGAAGACCCCGAGGAAGAAGAATCAGGCTGAGAGGAACAGAGGCAAAAAGTACAAGAGACAACTATTCAAAGGGTCTGACTTAGGACCCTTTATTAAGTTTACACAGGCCTCAGAGTTTCCGTGACCAACTGCCTCAGACTTAAACCTTTGTGTTTCCTGTGCAGACAGGCAAACAAACTGTAAGAACCAGGGAGAGGGAGGGAGAGGGGCTGAGAGGGTTAAAATCACCTTCAAGCTTATCCAGGACACACCATCCTCTGCATCAGCCTTCTGGAGGGTCCCCAGGTTTATGTGGAGCTCTGTTCATTTGCTTTTTTGTGTCACGTGTATGTGTGTTTTGTCTGCCTGTCCGTCTGTGCACCACCCGAATGTCTGGTGCTTGAGGAGTCCAGAGGAGGGTGTCGGATCCCCCGGATCTGGGGGTCCAGGCAGTTGCGAGCCGTCATGTGGGTGCTGGGAACTGAACCCGGGTCCTCCGGAAGGACAGCCAGTGCTCTTAGCTGTGGAGCCATCCTCCCAGCCCCTTTATTTACACTCTTAACTAGACCGGATTGGCACCTCCTCCCGCGTGGAAGGAGCTATCGGGAGCTACAGATGACAGGAAGGAGTGAGCTCCGTGAGTAGCTTGAGGAGGGACAGACCTCAGCACACAGCTTTACCACTGAACTGGAGACTATGCAATGTGGTCCAGGATGTCAGGACATGCTGGGTGTGGTGGCACAAATCCCAGCAGGCAGAGGCAAGTGGATCTCTATGAGTTCGAGGCCAGCCTGGTCTACATAGGGGGTTGCAGAACAGCCAGAGCTACACAGTGAGACCCTATCTCAGAAAAAAAAAAAAAAAAAAAGAAGAAGAAGAAAGAAAAGAAAAGAGAAAAAGCATGGCAGGTTGGAGATTGACATCAGCTTCTCCCTAGGGGATAGTGGGACTGACTTGTTTGAGATTGCCATCAGTTAAAACCCACACTTCGGGGCTGGAGAGGTGGCTCAGAGGTTAAGAGCACTGGCTGCTCTTCCAGAGGTCCTGAGTTCAATTCCCAGCACCCACATGGTGGCTCACAACCATCTGTAAGGAGATCTGGTGCCCTCTCTGGCCTGTAGGGATACATGCAGGCAGAACACTGCATACATCATAAATAAATCTTAAAAAACAAAAAACCCTGCACTTCTCTTTTTTTTTTTTTTTTTTCCAAGGCAGGGTTTCTCTGTGTAGCTCTGGTTGTCCACACATGGACCACCATACCTGGTTTCATTGACTTTTTTTTTTTTTTTGCCAGGCAATGATGGCCCATGCCTTTGACTCCAGCACTTGGGAGGCAGAGGTAATCAGATCTTCGTGAGTTTGAGGCCAGCCTGACCTAGAGAGTGAGTTCCAGGATAGTCAGGGATACACAGAGAAACCCCATGGAGGCCAGAAGAGGATGCCAGATCACCGGGAACCGAGTCACAGACAGTTGTGAGCTGTCATGTGGGTGCTGGGAACCTAACCTGGGTCCTTTGCAAGAACAGCCAGTGCTCTTTGTTGTTGTTGTTGTTGTTGTTTTCGAGACAGGTAGCTTTGCACCTTTCCTGGATCTCCCTCTCTAGAACTCACAGAGATCCGCCTGCCTCTGCCTCCCGAGTGCTGGGATTAAAGGCGTGCGCCACCACCGCCCGGCTCAGCCAATGCTCTTCAGTGCTGACTTTTATCCACTTGGAAACTTTCCCACATCTCCTCCTTATAAACATTTCCTTCTACAAGGCTCCCAAGTTACCAGTGACCTTCCAGAAGTGGGGGTTCACACCTGTAAATGTCAGCATTTGAGAGGTTGAGAGGAATGTAGAGCTGAAGGCCAGCCAGTCCGAGCTGTTTAGTCGAAGCCTGGCTCGAGGCGCAAAGCAACGCAAACCTGTCTCGTCACCACCCTGGGTCTCCTTTTCTTCCCCCGTTCCTCGAAACCTCTTGAGGTTGACTACACAAAGCAATCTTTATTTCCTCTCCCCTTACTTCTCCTCTTTTCCCAGGATACCCCACTCCTCACAGACACTTCCTGAGTCGTTTGACGTTTCCATGGCACTCGGCTCTTTCCCCTGCTGGTGTCCTCCCCTGTTCCCTTCTGGCAGTCGCTTCTCTGTGGCATAAGGGAGACTCTTCCTCTGCCTGTCCCTTAAACCACAAAAACCCATCTGAGCTGTGACCTTTGCATTTTGCATACGCCCCATCAGTGAGCTTACTCTCTTAAAAAGGCCTCTGCATCCTGCTAAGCACGCTATCTCCAGTCCAGATCTTTCTCTGGAGCTCTGGTCTTCGCCACTGTCCACCAAAGAATGCCGCAAGTCTTTCACAGGTGCTACAAATTCAGCATGTACCAAGTGAGCATGTCAACCTTCCCTACAAATCCTTTTTTCTTTCAGAACCAGCATCCAGCTGCTAGACTTAAATTCAATAAATATCTATTGAATCCTCGTCAACACTTAGACTAGGCAGGACCATGCCGATTATGATGATAAATTCGGGCCAATGCCCTCTCATACAATTAAAATGCACCGTGATAAGAATCATTGTGGTAGAGGAAGTACTAGCAACTGCTGGAAAAGCATGTGCCCAGTTGTGCATGCCAGACGCCCAGCAGCTTCTTGTCTGTTTCCTCACTACTCATATCGATGGACTGATTATCAAAATACTGAAATTTGTATTTTCCTAGATCTCCTCCCCCGCTTCGCTGGTGACTGAATCCAGGGCCTCCTGTATAGCAAACAAGACTTTTACTACTGAGCTACATTCTGGTCCTCATATTTCTTTTAAAGTATTTATTTATTTATTATGTATACAATGTTCTGCCTGCATGTATGTCTGCAGGCCAGAAGACAGCACCAGATCTCATTACAGATGGTTGTGAGCCACCATGTGATTGCTGGGAAATGAACTCAGGACCTCTGGAAGAGCAGCCAGTGCTCTTAACCACTGAGCCATCTCTCCAGCCCCATTTCTTTTATTTTTTAAGGCCAGGGCCTCTCTGTGTAGCCCTGGCTAGCCTGGAACTCATATGTTGATCAGGCTGGCCTCAAACTCACAAAAATCTGCCTGCCTCTGCCTCCTGAGTGCTGGGATTAAAGCCATGACACCAGCCCTTGGGTTTTTGAAAGGAGTTTGGCTATCTGGCTCATAATGCTGTGCAACTAACTGTATAACTGGTCCCAAGCTCTGGAACTTGCCCTCCAGATCTTTGTGAGTTCAAGGCCATCCTGGTCTACAGAGTGAGTTCCAGGACAGCCAGAGCTATTACACAGAGAAACTCAGTCTTGAAAAACTAAACAAAACACAACATTATTTTAGGGCTGATGAGATGGCTCAGCAGTTACGAGCATTGGCTGTTTAGTTCATACAAGGTGGCTCATCACCCTTTGTAGCTCCAGTTCTAGGGAATCCAACACCCTCTTCTGGCCTCTGTAGGGCACCAGGTATCCATGCAAACAAAACAGCTATACACATAAAAAATGTTTTAAGGAGAAAAAAATTATTTGGAGAGGGGAGCTGGAGAGATGGCTCAGAGGTTAAGAGCACTGGCTGCTCTTCCATGGGTCCTGAGTTCAATTCCTAGCGACCATATGGTGGCTCACAACCATCTATAATGAGAGCTGGTGCCCTCTTTTGGCCTGCAGACGTACACTGTACACTGTATACAGGGTCTCATGTAGCCCAGGCTGGCCTTGAACTGACTGTAGGTGAAGAGGACCTTGAACTCTTGATCCTCTTGCCTCCAAAGTTTGGAATTATAGGCATATATCATAATGCCTGGCTCTCTTAATTTTAAAGATTTATGTATGTGAGTGTTGGGAGCCAAACTCTGAGCTTCTACAAGCACGTATTCTAACCACTGAGCCATGGCTCCAGCCCCCCCATATAGTTTTTATTTTTTTTTTTGAGACAGGATCTTGCTTTATATCCCTGGATGGCCTAGCACTCTCTATTTAGCCTAAGGCTGGCCCTGAACTCACTTCAGTCCTGCCTCTGCCTTCTGTGTGCTGGGATTACAGGCCTGTCCATTCAGGCCTGGCACTCTCCATCCACCAAGCCTATCCTGTAGCATCAAAAAGTCTGGAATTGCAGGGCAGTGGTGGCACATGCCTTTAATCCCAGCACTCGGGAGGCAGAGCCAGGTGGGTCTCTGTGAGTTTGAGGCCAGCCTGGTCTACAGAGTGAGATCCAGGACAGGCACCAAAACTACACAGAGAAATTCTGTCTTGAACAAAAGCAAAATAAATAAATAGACTGGAATCTTGAAAAATTTAAAAAAAATGATTATGTGTGTGTGTGTGTGTGTGTGTGTGTGTGTGTGTGTGTCTGTCTGTGAGAATATGTACATGTGAGGGTAGGTACCTATGGAGTCCAGAAGAGGGCGTCCATGGGGCTAGAATTATAGGCAGCTGTGAGTTGCTCAGCATGAATGCTAGGGACCCTGGTCCTCTGCAGTACACACTCTTAACCACTGGGCCATCGGTCCAGCTCTTCTATTTTTTGTAATTTGTTTATTCAGTGTGTGTGTGTGTGTGTGTGTGTGTGTGTGTGTGTGTGTGAGAGAGAGAGAGAGAGAGAGAGAGAGAGAGAGAGAGAGAGAGAGAGAAGATTTTAGGCATTCTGTTCCCTCTCTGTGGGTCCTGGGGATTGAATTCAGGCCATTAGGCTTTGTGGAAAGCACCTTTTATTATTGTTTTGGTTGGATGGGGTCTATTGAAACAGTGTTTCACTATGTAGCTCTGATTAGCCTTTGGGCTCATTATGCATCCTAAACTGATCTCAAACTTCTGTTTGGGCCTCCTGAATGCTGGGATCATAGGTGTGAGAGACACATCCAACCCATATTATTTATTTATTTATTTATTTATTATTTATTTATTTATTTATTTATTTATTTATTTATTTATTTATTTATTTATTTAATTATTTGGCTTTGTAAGACAGGTTTCTCTGTAGCTTTTGAAGCACATCCTGGAACTCACTCTGTAGACCAGGCTGGCCTTGAACTCAGAGATCCACTTGCCTCTGCCTCCCATGTGCGGGGATTAAAGCTGTGTGCTTACACCTGGCCACCCTATATTATTTTTAAGGGTATCCAAAGATGAGTAAGGAGCCAGCAGGATGGCTTATTGG